CATTTATACTGGTTAAAATATATAATTTTATTAACTTTATTTAAAATGTATTGTTATTATAAATTAGAAATATTGTATGAATATAACCGTAATTGTAACATTTAAATATAAATAATATTATTTAATTAATAATTTCCTAATATACTTGCACATTTATTGACATTTAATTGAATACCCAAAACTATAATCAAAAACTCATAAATTACATTGTAAAACAAGTGTAAAATAAAATGTAATATACAATTGTAAAGTAAAGTTTATATAAAATTTAATGCAAAACATTTAATTATCGTAAATCATGAATAAACATTTAATTCGTGTGTTTTATCATCATCGTTATCATCGCTTTTTATGTGACATAACTTTTGTATAATAGCCGATATATAACAATCTCCCATAACGTTGGTTAGGGTACGTATCCTTTCCCTAAACAAAGCAAGCATGGTAATAATTTAATAAATAGATTGTAAAGCATGGAACACATTAATTAAAGTAATGTTGTAATTTTAAAACAACCAAGCTCATACATTAACCAATCCATTGCCATAATATAGGCAATTATATCGAGCGGATTATTTATACCAACAATAGCGCAAAATGCTATAAAATTGACAACGGTCGAGCCACCAGATGGAGATCCCGGAAATGACATGGTCATTATGACCGAGAAGATCCTAAAATAAGATAAAACTTATAAATTAATATTTAAAAACGCGTGTTTGGTTGTAAAAAAAATTATTTCGGATATTAAGCAAAGTTAATTATACAGTGTTTATTTGAGACATGGTAATAAATTATTATTAATAATGTTTTTAATCACAATTCAGTATGAATAATGTGGTTTATAGGATCGTTCGGCGATTTCCCGAATTGTGGTTAACGCATAGCATCGCGTGTGATCCTTGTATTTATTATGAATGTTATTATTACTTATAGATTTTTTATTAAGTATTGTGTTTATTATTAGTTAAAATAATTTCAACTAAAAATGTTACAAACTGTAATTGTAAAACTCAGTTAAACTCATTTGGCATATAAGTAGTAATCAATTACAAGTGTTTCGGAACAAGTAAGTCTTACTAGTTAATTTAAGAAAAATAATAAATGTATCTTTTGTTTTACCACTTTGTATTTTGACAATAATAAAATCTACCAACTTACCCCAAATACAGTATTTTTATGAGATTTTGAAATTAAATCATTAATTATAAAATAATCTACCATTATAATTGTCTTATATTCTTTTATGAGATAATTATTTTTTTTTACTAAAACGATTAATGCATTTTATAATTACCATAATGTGATCATCATTTGAAAAGTAATCGGAAAACCATGCATTTGGGCCACAAATAATGTGGTCATCGGGTAATACAAAGCACTGCCATTCATGTTGAGTGTCATTCCAAGTGGAAGCACAAATTGCGAGACGATCTTGGACAATTTATTTTTACCCTCCATACACTGTATTGTGACGGGTAGTGTCATCGCACTGATAGAGTGGCCAGTATTAAAAACAATTACATTAAGCAAAATAAAATATTTATGTCGCAAACCTGGAACTGGAGCCGAACGCCACAATCATTGCTGGCATTATATTGAGTAAAAATTTATATGGATTTTTGCGTACAATTGCCACATATATTATCGGATATAAAATGAACCAGATCACAGAGAAACCAAACATAG